AGCCCCTTCAGGTCCTGGAAGGTGCTCTGAGGTCTCCCTGGAGCCTTCTCTTCTCCAGGCTGAACAACCCCAACTCTCTCAGCCTGTCTCCAGAGCAGAGCTGCTCCAGCCCTCACATCATCTCCATGGCCTCCTCTGGACTCACTCCAACAGCTCCATGTCCTTCTTGTATTTGGTGCACCAACACTGGACCCAGCACTGCAGGGGGTCTCACCAGAGCAGAGCAGAGGGGGACAATCCCCTTCCTGCTGGTCCCATTGCTGGGGATGCAGCCCAGGACATGGTTGGTTTCTGGGCTGCCAGGGCATGTTGGTGGCTCATGGTGAGCTTCTTATCACCCAGCACCCCCAGTCCTTGCAAGGGTGTAGGAACCATCATAGAATCACAGAGTGGCTTGAGTGGGCAGGGACCTTAAAGACCATCTAGTTCCAATCCCTAGTGGCACCTCCCACTAGATCAGGTTGCTCCAAGCCCCATGAATCCCCCTTGAACACTTCCAGGGAGGGGCATCCACAGCTTTGATCAGGACCTGGAGCGGAATCAAGGACCTTCCTCCCCACTTGGCACTTCTTTGTCCTGAGCATAGGCTTGAAACCTCCCATGGTGCTGTTTGCACCTCTTCCCAGCCCCAAAAGAGCCTCCAGAATTGTTGCTCTTGAGCATTTCACCCTGCTGCTGCAGGGACCAGCACCAGTCCTTGAAAAGGGGAGACCTGTGCTCCTGCTGGACAGTGAAACTCAGAACATCAGCAAGCAGGAAACCTCCTCTCCTCCTAGCCATGTCTGATGTGCAAACTGCACTTCCCTGGGGCAAAAGTCACCTCTGAGGGACAGACAAAACATGTGGCAAGCAGGACAGGCTGAGCCCCTAGTGGTGGTGGTGGCACTTGCTTGTGGCACAAGGAGCAACTCAGAGTCCTGAAAGCCATGAACCCTCAAGGGCTCGAGCTCCAGGCACGGTTTTTCAGTGTGGATCCCTTTAGCCACGTTCCCGTGGGATGCTCTGGCTGTGTAACCTTACCTGGAACTGCAGCTTGGGAGCCAGGAGGTTGCTCTGAGGTGGCGGCTTGTACCTGGGTCTGCTGGGCTGTGGGGAGGGAGAAACACAACAGTTGGTGCAAGATCCAGGAGGTTCCACTTCTGCAGCACCCATCAGTGGGTTCAGGCAAGGATATGAACCTGCCTGCATGGACCCTGCCCTCTCCTCTCACCTTTGGGGGTGGGTCCTGGAAGGATGGTGGCTCCATGATTTTGGGAGGCCGGTGGCGGTTGTTCCTCTCCTGCTCCTTGGCTAGGTCCTTCTCCATCAGGTAAATGTCACTGCAGGGGGAGACAGGGGGGGACAGCCCCAGGGGGGAGCGTGGGCACATCTCCCATACCCCAGAGCATGGGGATGCTTGAGCTGGATGGGCCATAGAAAACATGATGGAGCAAGGAAGGATAGGAAGAGCAAAGGGAAGGGACCTGGGAGGACAGAGCATGGACGTGGCTGGCCCCAATGAGATGTGAGGTCAAGACTCCTTCCTGGGAAACAAAGCATGTTCACTCCAGCCTAGGCACCACCACCTCTGGGGGCAGGTGGGCTTAAATGGTCCAGTTCAGAGTCGTCCAGAAAACTCCAGCCCCAAAAATCTTACAGGGCTTCATCTTTCTCCTTCACCCATCTAGAATCATGGAATCCTCTAAGATCATCAAGTTCAACACCACCATGCCAACTCAGCCATGTCCTGCAGTTCTATGTCTACATGTTTTTTTACCACCTCCAGTGGTGACTCCACCACTTCACCGGGCAGCCTGTTCCAATGCTTGGGCACTTTTGCAGTCTGGAAATGGTTCCTAACACCCAATCTAATCACCTGCCCATCTGTCCCATCAAACCACAGACTTCCCAACCCACCATCGGTTTGCCACCTTTCCACTCACCTCAAGCTGCAAACCAAGTCCTTGAACTTGGGCCTTTCGCTGGGGTCATAGTCCCAGCAACGTGTCATGAGGGTGTAGAGGATGGGTGGGCAGAGGTCAGGCTTGGGCAGGCGGTCGCCCCTCTCCAGCACCCCGATCACATCCTTGTTCTCCAGCCAGAAGAAGGGCTGCTTCCCATAGCTTAGGATCTCCCACATGCACACGGCTGAGGGACCAAGAGGAGAAAGCTCAACTGATGCTAAAGCCTGGGGGACCAGCCCTTCAGTCGGGTTTTTGGGGAGCTGGTGGCATGGCCAAGCTTTGCTGCGTGACGTCAGGTCACTTGGCTGCTCGGCCTTTCTGCTCCCGGGGTGACAAACATAGAGGAAAAGCTGCAGGGTCTCCTGAGGAGCTGCAAGGAGCCCAGCTCCTGGTGCTGCTGGCCATAAGGCTGGTGGGGACCAACAGATGGGCAGATGAGCCCCAGAGGCCATGAGAATGGGATGACAGGCAAGAAGATGGGTATTTGCAGGACAGAGAGTTTAACTCAGCTTCCTGACCACCTTGAATCCACTGGGGGAGGAAGAAGCACCTCATGATGATTGAGCTGCAAGCTCTACCCCAGGAGCCCTTTTCCCAAGGGCAAGGCTTGGGACAATGCCCCACTCAGAAGCAGGATTTGTCCCTATAAATTAAGATGATGCCACGGGAGGTGAACAGTGCCCAGGACTCTGCTCTGGTCCCACCCCACCACTCACCAAACATCCAGACATCACTAGCTGTTGTGAAGCGGCGGAAGTTGATGGACTCGGGCGACATCCACTTGATGGGGAGACGGGAGACAGAAGCTGGAGGGAGAGACAGAGGGTGGCAGGGGACATGGAGCAGTCCCAGCATGGCCAGGGCAGTGAGGTCTTACCATGGTCCCTGTCCTCACCAGCTGGGAACAAGCCCCAGTGCTATCATGCAGCCCTTACCTTTATAGTACTCTTCGTCCTCGATGTACCTGGAGAGCCCGAAGTCACCCAGCTTCACACACTCTGGGGATGCCACCAGGATGTTCCTCGCAGCAATATCCCTGCAAGGAGAGAGACCCTTGGCTGGAGAGAAGAGATAGAGAAGGGATGGAGAAGGAATGGAGAAAGAGAGCTCACACCCAGACAACCAGGAGAAGGGTTGGAGAAGGGATAGAGAAGGAGAGTTCACACCCAGAAAACCAGGAGAAGGGATGGAGAAGGGATGGAGAAGGATGGAGAATGGATGGAGAAGGAGAGTTTACACCCAGACAACCAGGAGAAGGGTTGGAGAATGGATGGAGAAGGGTTGGAAATGGAGAGCTCACACAACCAACTCATCCAGAAAGAAGGGTCTACAGCAAAGGATGCTGGCAGACTCTGTCTCTGCCCACTCCTACCCCTTGCCTGCCCGTTTCCCCATCATCCCTGCCATTCCCTGTTTTTTCCAGGACCCTGCCCAGCTCCTTTTCCCTCCTGCCCTACCTGTGCACGCAGTTGATGGCCTCCAGGTAGGCCAGGGCTTTGCTGATCTGCAGCGCGTAGAGGATGAGCATGGGCACGGCCAGGCAGTGCTTGTTCTGCTCCAGGTATTGTCCCAGCTGCAATGGGACAAGTGAGGGGGGTCAGAGACCCAGCACGGGGATGGGATTGCATGGAATGGGCTCTGGTGGTGGGATCCTGCTCACCTCTCCGTAAGGATAAAGCTCCATGATGATCCAGGTGGGCTCCTCCTCTGCAATGCCAATGAGCTTCACGATATGGGGGTGGTCCAGCTTCTTCATCAGCACTGGAGGGGACACTGCATCAGATGCCCTGCAAGGAGGGGGCCCCTCCAGAAGTCCCCTCCCCTCTCCTGAGGTGTAGGGGCAAGTCTCTGCCATGAAGCCTGAGGAATTGCCAGGGATAGCCTAGAACGGCCCCAAAGGGGTTGGGGCTCCTGGTTTACAGCTCCCCAGTGATTGACATCCAAGTGGTGCCCATCTGCTCTCCTGCAAGGATTCCACAGCTTGTCTCCTCCCCCCTACCCCATAGCCACCCCTCTCATAAACCAAGTATCTGGTTCTCCAAAGGAGAACCACCCTGCCACAGGGGCCAGGGAAGGGCCACCTCCCTCCTTCTGCTCCACCCTCCATTGCAAAGTCCCCAAGCAGGGAACAGAAGATGCCAGGCAGCTTCCAACCATCCTGTCTGTAGCACCCTACCACTGCAATACTGGAAACACCTCCAGCCCTCCCCATTTGTCCTCTGCCCCCCAGGGTCCAGGGTGGGGGCTGAGAGGGCTCAATCCCCTCAAAAATGCAGCAGGACCCCAGCCTACCTGCTTCACTCAGGAACTTCTCCTTGTTCTCCAGGCTGCAGTCCTTCTTGCAGGTCTTTACTGCCACATTGACTCGCTCCCCTTTCTGCAAGAAAGAGGAAGAGAAGGAGGAGAAGGAGAGAGAAAGAAAAAGAAAGAGGAGAGAGAAGGAGAAGTAGAAAGGGAAGAGGAAGTAGAAGAGGAAGAGGAAGGAGTAGTAGGAGGAGGAGAAAAGGAGAAGGAGAAGAAGAGGGGGCTGCTTTACCCCACTATCCCCTGGGCCATGGAGGAGGCAGGCAGGGCAGGCAGAAAGCAAAAGACTCACTGGGGTGGTGTAGATCCCCTCGTAGACCTCTCCGAAGAAGCCTTCTCCCAGGATCCTACCCAACGAAACATCTTCCCGGGAGATCCCGTAGTGCTGGGCTTCATGGACAGGGGAGCAGGGCAGAGGTGGCAGTGCCAGTGGGCAGGAAGCTGCCTGAACCCCTGCCCGCTCCAGGGACAGAGCCCCCATGGCAAGGGGGAGATGTTGGTGATCCCTGGGTACCAGCCCTCTCCATCATCCCCTCAAGCCCTCCCTGGCAGTGTTGAAGGCCAGGTTGGACAGGACTTGGAGCAACCTGGTCTAGTGGGAGGTGTCCCTGCCCATGGCAGAGGGTTAGAACTAAATGGTCTTTAAGGTTCCTTCCCACCCAAAACAGTCTAGGGCTCTAAAACCGTGTTCCCATCTTGGAGAAGATGGGGTGGGAAATTTGGGTGGGCAGGAGGAGGTGGGAAGGCTTGGCTGGGGTGCTAGGAGATGGGCAAGACAGCACCTAGGGTAGGTGGCACCTACCTCCAGACCTCGGTCTTGAGGACTCATCAGGGATTTCAGCATAAATATCAGAATCTAGGGCAAGAAGAAGGGGCAGGCAGGGATTCAGACAGCTCAGTGGGCAGGGGGGGTTCTTGCATCTTCCCCTGGGGTCCAGCCATCTCCCATTCCAGAGCAGCTCCCACAGGAATCACAGCCATGTGGAGTGTAGGGGACACCAACCTAGCCCTCCCCTGGGATGCTCAGCTGCACCTCACCCCCCCAGGCAAAGCCTGGGGATGTCCAGCTCCCCAGGCCCCCCCAAATCCCCTAGTGTTCCCCAGCCCTGCCTACATTCCCCGAAGCTTCTGGGAAAGGAGAAGAGCTAAAAACTCACCCATGCTCATGCTGTCTGACAGCGTGGACTGCCGCTCCTCCAGGTGCCTGTGGGTGGGAGGAGGTTGGGATGAGGGATCAGGATTTGGGATGGGGGGAGAGGATCGCCCTTCCAGGGCCTTGCGCTACTCACGGGGCTGGGATTTGGGGCAGGCTGATCCTCTTCTCCCTCTCTGTGGAGAAAACAACAGATGGTCGTTTTGTGGCCAACCCCAGAAGAGCCTGCGGGAACCCCCTCAGTGCCTCCACCACACGTGCAGTGAGTTGGGCGGGTCTCAGCTGGGGTCACTTCAAAGTCATGAGTGTTGCAGGGGTCATGGAAAGAGCTTGGTGGGGTGGGAGAGGCATGGCTGAGCTCTTTTACCCCCCCCAAGGGCACTCACCTCTCCTGGGGCAGACGATGAGTGAGGTTTCCAGGTGCCCTTGCAGGCGGCAGTAGCCGTCAATGAGGTCGGCCATGTTCTCTGCCTCAGCCAGGGAAGCTGTTTTGATCGCCAGGGACTGGAGGGCACAGCGGGGATGGGGTGGGGAGGTGAGGCCAGAGCTGGGGATGGGGATGCTGGGGTAGGGGTCCCCACTTCTCTCCACCTTGCAGTACTGCAGTGACCACTTCCCTGCACCGCAGCAGACCCCAGTTTCTCCAGCATCATCCTTCCCAGGACCCCCCCAAACCAGCTCTGGGGGAGGGTAGACCCCCAGAATGGGGGGGGGGGAGGCAGTTTGGATGTGCCCCTCAAGAGTCCCCTCCCCCAGCCACAGCTGGAGGCAAGAGCTCTCCCAGTGAAAATGGAGTCACCACCCAATCATGTCTAATCCACAGGGCTGCTATGCAAGCCCACGGTATCAGGGGGGGACCAACCCCCACCCCTCTCTCTCAGCACCTCCAGCATTCTTCCCCCCTCCCCATGCCTTCTTCTCACCTGGGGGGTGCCACTGAGCCCCAGCTGCAGCACAGCCTGACCATCCTCCGCCCTGGAGCACTTGATGGACTTGATGTGCTTGAATTCAGCCAAGCAGGTGGGCTGGGGGGAGAGGCAGAGCCCCCACGGTGACTTTAATCCCAAATTGAAGAACAGAAGCCCCCCCTCCCCAGCCAGCACCCAACCACCCCTGTACCTTTGCCTCTTTGCTCGTCATCTGCCGGATGCCCTTGGGTCCGATGACCAGGTCCACCGTGATGTTCCACCCTTGCTGGGGGGGCAGCAGAAGGAGGATGGACATTTTTTTTTTTTGGGGGTGTGGAAGAATGAAACCCCAAAGCCACGTCCCCCATCCTGCTGTGATGTGTGAGACACCCTGGGGAAAACCACCTTTCCCAGAGGGTGCAACTGCCTGAAAGGAGGTTGGAGTGAAGGGAGGGATGGTCTCTTCTCCCAGGGAACAAGTGATGGGACAAGAGGAAACAGCCTCAAGTTGTGCCAGGGGAGGGTTAGATTGGATATTGGGAATAATTTATTCCTGGAAAGGGTTGTCAGGCCCTGGCCCAGGCTGCCCAGGGCAGTGGTGGAGTCCCCATCCCTGGAGGGATTTCAGAGCCATGTAGCTGTGGTGCTGAGGGACATGGTTTAGTGGTGGCCTTGGCAGTGCTGGGGTAATGGTTGGACTCAAGGATGTTAAAGGTCTTTTCCAACCAAAACGATTCTGTGAGTTCCAAGACCTTGCAGGATGTTCCCTGAACTCGGGGTGATCAAGCCCCACTCTAAGCCTGGGGACTGTGGCAGGGAGCCAACTGCAGCAGGGTGGCTTTGTCCACCTTGCCACTCGTCACATCCCAAACAGCACCAGGGGATGCTTCAGGTAGCAGCTCGCTGCCCCAGCATGCGGCGCTAATTAATGGCTTAGGATCATCTCACCTCATCAAATCGCAGACCAGTTTGGGTTGGAAGGGACCTTAAAGACCATCTAGTTCCAACCTCCTGCCATGGGCAGGGACACCTCGGGCTACACCAGCTGGCTCCAAGCCCCAGCCAAGCTGACCTCATCCCCCCCGTGGGATGGACTCACGATGAGCTCGCAGCGGTAGCTCTCCTGGTCGATGTTGGCGAAGGTGGCGAGGGTGTGGAGGAACTTGAGGATGCACTCGTCCTCCCGCAGCAGCGCGTACTGCTGGAACGTCTGCTGGATCATCTTCCGGAACTGCTTGGGCTGCGGGCACAGCTGCTGCTAGCCAGGCTGGGCACCCGCTGGGCACCAGCGGGGACGGGGGCGAGGGGGCGAGGGGGCAGGCTGCATGTGGACACACACGTGGACACGGGCATAGGCATCCACACGGACACATGGACAGGCACAGACACGGAGATGCACGTGGACACATGCGGACACAGGCAAGGACACGGACACAGACACATGCATGGACACAGACTGACACTCACCTGCAGATACGAATGTGCACCCGTGTCCAGACAGGTGCACGTGTCAGCACACATGTGCTCGCTCACATGTACACACGTGTGTGTGTGCATGTGTACATACATGTGTGTACACGTATGCCTGCATGCACACAGCTGCACAGATATGCACACATGCAGATCTACCTTCACGGGTGTGCAGACGTGCCTGCACATGCCAACCCACCCGTGCACACATGAACACACGTGGCTCTGGATATGAATTCACACACGCGGGCAGATGCACCCTCGTGAGTGTGTGCAAAGCTTCATGACTGTGGGGAACGTGCATGTACAGGAGTGTGCCAACCTACAGGTGCACACTGATGCCCCATATCTGCGTGTACACAAACAGCTACAGCATCACAAGGGGGAGCACAACCCAACATGTGCACAAATGCAGGCAGATGTGCACACACGTAACTCTGTGTGCATGAGCACCCCCAGTAATGTCCATGCACGCTTCCACACCTTGCACCTGTTCACCCACACACACAACCCTCACCTTCAGGTTCTCCTGCATCTGGCTGGGGAAGAAGAGGTCCAGGCCCACTTCCTTCCTGGAGAGCAGAAACCCCCCTGCATGTTAATGGCCCCCCAAAGACAGGGGGAAATGTTCCCATCTCCTCCTTTCCTTGCACCCCCCACCAGCAGGATTGGTGATTGTGGGAGAATGAGGAGGTGCTAGAGGATGAGGTGATGCAAGAGGATGAGGAGGTGCAGAAGGGTGAGGAGGTTTGGGGAGGATGAGGAGGTGCAGGAGGATGAGGAGGTGTGGGATGATGAGATCTGGGATGATGAGAAAGGCCAGCTGCAGACCCCAGCCCCTCAGTGCCTCCTGGACAAGGTGGGGATCAGGGAATTGAGGGTCCAGGGGTCCATCCGGGCAGGCTGGCCCGTCCCTACTCACTCAAGGAACTCGAAGTTGGATTTCTTCTCCAGCGCGTTATGAGGCATGTCCTTATAGAACCTCCTGCGGAGGGGAGGGACATCAGACAGCTCCTGCATCCCCCCACCACCTCCCCCTGCCTCTGCAAAGACTGAGCTGAAACTCCTCCCTTCTCACCACCCCGCCACCCCCTAGGTCCAGCCCTGGCCCCACGCCCCCCGGGCAGGTGCCCACACGTACCGGAGCTCCAGGCAGCCGAGCTGCAGGGCCATGCCCTCGCTCACCTTGCTGGCGTAGGACTGCATGTACTCACTGCGGAGCTGTGGGGACACAGGGGGCAGGTCAGGGGGCAGGGGGGACAGGGGACGGGCAGGAGATACTGCAGGGGATGCTCACAGTGTCCACGCTCTCCCACATCCTGTGTTGGGATGCAAGAGCAGGGTAAAGGAGTTGGGCTTTGCTGGCCCCAGTGGGGACACGCTGGCCCAGCCATGGGACAGGACCACAGGACGTTGGGACAAGCTGGCCCTGACGGGGATGCACTGGCTTGGTCATGGATAGGACCAGAGAACAGTGGGACTGGCTGGCCCCAGTGGGGACATGCTGGCCTGGCAGCTCAGCAGGGCCACAGGGGCTGCCCATGGGCTGCAGCGTGGGAGGGGTCAGCAGCTCAGGGTGAAGGTGAAGGTTCTACAAGGTCCTGGGGCTCTTGGGAATCATGTTTACTGGGCTGGGGAGGAGGAAACATTGTCCAGGGGTTGAGGGGTGGGTCAGGGTGGGTGGAGATCAGACCTGGTTTGGAGACCCCCAGGGCCACCCCTGACCTGCTGGTAGAAGTAGAGCAAGGTGGTCCTGTCCTCTTTGAAGCGTTCCATGAAGTCCTCTGGCAGGTAGCGGATTTGGAGATCATACCTGGCAACAAGGAGAGCCCCTTGATGAGGACCACACTGGAGCTTTCCATCTAATGGACCTCGGCAGTCCCCAGTGTCCCTGCCCTGGGCATGGGTCCTACCTCCACTCAGCTTCCAGGTGTAGGCACTCGTACTTCTCCTGCACTTCGCCCACCGTGAGGTCCGGGTGCAGCCAGTGGATCTCATCCGACTTCACGTGCTTCAGGCGGAGCCCGTAGCACTCGGACAACTTGATGTCGGGTCCGATGCGGCCGCTGACCAGGATGGACTTGATCACCTCCTGGGGTGGAAAGAAGAAGGGCTGAGACCCAAGTGTCCCCAGCTGGGCTTCAGATGAGCTTTAGATAGCAGGAGAACAAGGAGGAATTGCAGCCCAACCGCAACAGAAATGTCCCTGGAGCGAAGACACATCCCTGGACACAGTCACCAGCTCCACATGAAGCCTCCAAAGATGCCTCCAACTTGCTCTTCAACAACCCACAGCCTGCATGTCTCATCCAACCTCCCAGAGGTATTTTGGTCAAAAATGCAACTAAATGTTGATGGTTATTAACACGACCAGTGGCCAAGTTGTCCCTGAGGAGTGACCACCTTGGGCTTTCTCTGCTCCTGTGTCCTGCTGGCTGCACTCCCACCCCTGCATTGGGCAAAGCCAGCCTGATGCCATCTCATGGTTTCATTTGCACTTGCCCTCCCCAGGCATCTCCTTCCCACCCTGGTGAGTCCTCCTGCTCTAAACACTTTTCCAAAACCTTCTGCCACACCACAATCTCCTCCTGGAGATGGGAGAAGGAGGTGGACAGCCCTGTCCCCCCTCTATGTCCCACCAGATGAGGAACAACCCGCAGCTCAGCTGTACTTTGGTCACCTCCCCGTGATTTCATTGCAATGCCTTGCCCCAGGAGAAGGCATCACCTGTTGTACCCAGGGTGGGCATCTCTCCTGGAGGACACCAAGCCAGCACCATCCAAGCAGGTCCCTGGTGCCTGAATATCTTCCCCCTGATGGGAAGCTGAAGCTACAGGTAGGAAAGGTGAGGAGCACACTTCCAGTCCAAAGCCACTGTGTCCATGATGGGAAGGCACCAATATCACCTTTGCTGTCCCCCCAGCCCCATGTCTCCACAAGCAAAGTTGGATGCAGAAGTCCTGGTGGGCTGGGAGAAAGGACCTGGGTCCTGGCAGGAGACCAACAGGTGCTGCTGGCCACAGAGTGTCTAGGGGTGGCAGAGTCACCCAAACAGGCAGTGACACCATGACATGGCCATGGAGAAATGCCAAGGGTTGGGGCTGTGAAGGTCACCATCCTCCCCACCAAGAACCTGTGTCCACACAGGTCAGTGGAGATGGAGGAAAAGTGGGGACCCAGCTCCTGCCAGTTCCAAGCCCCACAAGGCACCATCATGCCTAAATTCACTTTTCATCTGGCCTCTTCTGATTGCTCCCTGCACCACTATGCTTGGGATATCTTCTCCAAACCAAGATGAGCAATGGCCTAGAAACTCTGCCCTGGTGTCCACAAGGGAGACCAGCAGGAGGAACCAACAGCAGGGCGAACAAGCTGTGGGAAACTTTTCTTTTCTCCCCCACATAAGTCTAAACAAAATGCTTTTGAAGCCAGTGAAGGCCTCTGCTGATTATTCCCAGCTAATGACTAACACAGACTTGCTCCTCAAGGACAACTGAACCCAAAACAACAGATGTGGTGCAGGACAGAAAGCATGGGTGACAAGTCATACATTGTCCCTGGTAGTCACCACCCTGACTTGGGGCTCATGGATGCTACTGGCTCTGGATAGTGATACTGACTGGACAGGTGGGTCACAGGGGGTATCAAAGGTGGCGAGTTCTGCAGGTGGGACCGAGGCTCGTTCGGACGTTCCTGCGTGGGACACCCCCTGCTGCGGGTACTGGTGCTGGGACCCTGCCTGCCCCAGATCGAGCCTGGGCCTTAGGGTGAGTGTGCCAGGGTCCTGAGCCCTGGGGTCGGGGCTGGAGCCCCCCTGTGTTGCTGCCGGTTGCAGAGGCCACTGACCCCTGCTGCCGCTAGGAAAGGAGCTGTCAGGTACCAGCTGCCCGAGGGAAACATCACCCCCCCCTCACACACTCCTCTCCTCATATTCGCACACACAGCGACCTCTAAGGAGGCCTGACATTGGGCTTCCTCCCTCCTCCCTTTGGACCTCAACCCTCTCTCAGAGAGAACGCTTTAAAAGCACAGGACCTTTTGCATTACCTCCCTAAAGGGCACTTTCTTACTGTATATATATACATACAGTATATACAATGTATATATACATATATATATGTATATATATATCCCTGATAGCCATTTACATTTATATTTTCCCTAAACCTCATCCCTCAGTTTGGGTTAACTCTTAATAAACCAATTAATTTGTGTAGTAAACATTGGTCTCAGTAGCAATTTGTGAGCACGATGGGGGTGCACTCTAACTGCCACTCTAAAACACAGTCCCGCAGCAGCCGTTCCCCTGTGAGAGGTGAACACCACGTGTGACCCTCGGTCTTATTCAACAACCCCTCCACATCAGGGGGAGAAATCACAGAAGCACCTGACAGCCCCTAGCCCCCAATATTGGCTCACGACACAAGCCCTTGCCCTCTTCAACTTCCCTGAACACCAGACATGGCCAAATTTCCTCTCTGTCCTCCAAGTTTTGGTGGTTCTTTGGTGTCGTGGGGTCTCCCATGCCATGGGAAAGGCATGGAAGGAAGCTGGCTCTGATGCCAGGTGGACACAACAGCCCCATCCACCCCCCTGCCCACCTACCCGGATCTCCGTCGTCACAGGGCACTTCACCAGCTTGAAGTTCTTGCCCATGTTGAAGCTGTTGCTGTAGAAGCAGACCTTGAGGATGCGCATCTCCTCCTTGTCCACCTCCAGTGTCCCCATGCCCAAGGTGGTCTCCAGTGTCCCAGCCAAGCTGCGGGAGGAGCTGCTCCGTGAGCGACTCAAGGCCTCGGGGATGGTCGTCATCCTCACCACGCCCGGGGCGCTAGGAGCTGAGCATCCCTTCCCTGTGGGGGAGACACAGCCATGGCATGGTGGGGACACTGGGATGGGTGTCACCTTGTGGGGTGGGGGTGGGGTCAGGAGGTGGGTGGGGAAGGGAAGGAGGGAAGGGATGGAGAGATGGAGATGGATGGATGGATGGATGGATGGATGGATGGATGGATGGATGGATGGACGGACAGATGCTCTACTCAGCAGAGCTTGGTGTCCTTGTCATCCCCAAGAGCAACATCTCTGGGTCTTTGTCACTTTCAGAGCAACACCTCAGAGCTACAGCTGTGGTTGAACTACGTGACCTCCCAACCAAGCTGACTTAAGCAGATGGCTTTGCAAAACACAGTTAAGAGCAGAACAAGACGACCTAGGTGGGTTCTGTCTTCCTGGCAAGGACCACACAGATTAGTATCCATTTGCTCTTTCATTTTCAGAGGGGATAAAACCCAGAAGCCAGCTCCAAAAAATATCATTTCAGGTGGAAGGGAAGTGGTCTGAATTTGAGATTATGTGAGTCTTGGATGATCCAAATGGATCCCAGATGTTTCCTCTTTGGGTGGCTTTTGGGTTGGGAGGTGGGCAGGGAAGCACCCGGGCTGAGGCTGGGCAAACTCAGCTCACGTAACCCCCTACAAGCAAAGATGTTATTCTCAGCCCAGCCACCAGCTCCCCAGGAAAGCTTCTCATCGAGCTTGAGGGTCTCCAAGCACCAGTGGGGAAGACACCAAGAAAGCCACACTGCAGGATCCTTTCCCAAGCTTTTCTCTCCCCGTTTTCCCATTTTTATTCTTCCTTGGTGGGATCTGCACCATCATTATTTGCACCATGACTTGTGAGGCTGTAATTACAGCCCCAGCACGAGCTTGTGAACTGCCAGGACAGCGTGTGCTGCCTCCGCCAGCTCCGGCTTTTTAAAGCAACTCGCCTGAGTCATCGGCCTAAAAATACGCCCGGCGGAGCCCGGAGCTGCACCCAGGGGTTTGTTTGCAGCGGTGCAGAGCGTGGACGGGCTGGATTTTTGTTCTACAGGTGGCTCTAAGGAACAAGGCAGGATGCTGTGCATCCCTGTGGAGCATTGCTAAGGTAGTGGTGGCACGCAGCCCTGAGGAGAAGGACTTGGGAGTGTAGGATCCAGGAACAAACCGTGTCCTGGGCTACATCCCCAGCAGCGGGACCAGCAGGGCCAGGGAGGGGATTGTCCCCCTCTGCTCTGCTCTGGTGAGTCCCCCTGCAGTGCTGGGTCCACTTCTGTGGTCCCCAGCACAAGGAGGACATGGAGCTGTTGGAGTGAGTCCAGAGGAGGCCACAGAGATGATCCAAGGGCTGGAGCAGCTCTGCTCTGGTGACAGGCTGAGAGAGTTGGGGTTGTTCAGCCTGGAGAAGAGAAGGCTCCAGGGAGACCTTAGAGCACTTTCCAGTACCTGGAGGGGTTGCAGGAAAGCTGGGGAGGGACTTTTGACAAGGCCAGGGAGTGATGGGATGAGGGTGAATGGTTTCAAGCGGCAAGATGGGAGATGGAGATGAGATCTGAGGAAAAAATTCTTTGCTGTGAGGGTGGTGAGACCCTGGCCCAGGTTGCCCAGAGCAGCTGTGGCTGCCCCATCCCTGGAAGTGTTGAAGGGCAGGACGGATGGGACTTGGAGCAATCTAGTCCAATGGAAAGTGTCCCTCCCCATGGCAGGGAGTTGGGACTTTGAGGTCCCTTCCAACCCAAACCAGTCTGGGATTCTGTGACCTGAGCAAGGCAGCAGCACTGAGCTGGTGACTGTCACCTCCAGGCACAGGCTGGCAGGGAGCCCAGCCACACCAACAGCCACGCACATGTGAGGTCACACATTTTCACACCGGGTTTTATACTTGTTATTTTTCCTCTGCTTCTCAGCAGTGTCTGCACAGGGAGCACTGTGCAGCAGCCCACATCCTCTGCACAACACCCCTGGGGCTGCCTCTCTGCCTTTCAGGCTCGTCCCCTTCTCATGGGCTGGCTGAAGCAGGGACAACCACAGCATCACCCTTTCTGTGTCTTGTCCTGTCCCTGCAGGTGTTACCAGTGATACCTCACACCAGCCCACAGACCGCATCCATGCTGTGCTAAATGACTTGTTTCCTCCCTTGACCAGGCTCGAAGAGCAAAAGTGTGAAGCAAAATCAGAAAGTCTCTGTCATAGCTGGGAGATGCTCCACTCCAGCCTTTGCTACAGCTCCCACTGCTCTGCAGAAGAGGCTGGTACCCAAAGAGCTTCTCCTCCCAGAAATCACGGAATCCCAGACTGGTGTGGGTGGAAAGGGACCTTCAAGATCATCCAGTCCCAACCCCCTGACCATGGGCAGGGACACCTCCCACTAGACCAGGTTGCTCCAAGCCCCATCCAACCTGGCCTTCAGCACCTCCAGGGATGGGGCAGCCACAACTTCCAGGTAAAATAAAGATCTCTCTCTGAAAAGTGAACTCTGAGTCCTCAGGGCTTCAGAGTGAGCCCCCTGGGGGGTGGAGACAATGCCCTAATCTAGCCCCTGGGGGAGGGGGAGCTCAACTCTTGGTTGAGCAGGACAATGGCTTCGCTCAAGCACTGGGAATGTTTCACTTTGGCACTACTTGTTTTTCCCTGCTTTTTCCTCACGTTGTGTTTTCTTCCTCCAGTCCCATTCCCACAGCACGACCCCACATGCCTTCAGTGAGCCCATGGGGCCAGGACCCAAGCTGAATATTCCCTCTGTGCCCTTGCTTCAATGAGGGATGCTGCTGGAGAGCGGGATGCAGAGAACATCCCGCAGAGAACACCCTAGGGAATATCCCACAGCCAGCATCCCACAGAGAACATCCGAGGGAATATCCCGCAGCCAGCATCCCACAGAGAATATCCCAGAGAAGATCCCACAGAGACCATCCTGCTGCCCCGAGCAGCTCTGGCTGCCACGCCTGGCAGCCAGCAGGAACAAGGCCACATCCCACATTTCCATGTCCCCTCGAAGCCAGTGTGGACTCGAGGGATGGCTCTGTCCCTCCAGCAAGGCCCCCCATGGATTCCCAGCCCCTCCACATCCTGGAGCAAAGATACTGATCCCAAATAAAGCCGGGGGGCTCAGTGAGGCAGTGCCTGCACCCTGGCTGTGCAGCACCCGGGGACGACAGCAGATCCCTGGGGACATTTGGCTGGAGAGCACGTGTCCTGTACGAAGCTGGCCCTACACCTCTGGGTTCCAGGGCTGGAGAAGGGGTCCTGGCCACGGCCCAAGCCCTCTGTACCTCCACCCCCTGCCCACTTGCCTCCCCCTCTGGCGGTGGGGACACGTCTCACGGGACCCCAGCTTGGTCCCCAGTGGGGACAGATGTGTAGGAGGTGTGACGCAGCCCCAGCCAGGGACACGGGGAAGGAAGAACCCATGAAATGAAACCGAGAGCTTGCCCTGCTGCCATCACCACCACCACCACCACCTCCTTGGCGCAGCCTCCGTGTCCCCTCCCCCGCAGCCCCTGAAAGGTCCCCAGGGCAGCTCAGAGCCACCTCCTGTCCCCACTCCCTGGCACAGGCCCCGGCCAGGAAGTTTTTCTTCCCGTTGCCCCCAAGCTCTCGGGGAAGGTGGGTGCCCCCCTCCCCACCCGCCGGGCGCTGCTTCCTCCGGCCCTGCCCC